TATATGATGCTGTCTTGAATCTCAGTCAGCTCACTGTTTTCATAAAGGGATTCCATGTCTCACACAAGGCTGTCTTGAAAACTGTCTTGTTCAGTGAAACTGAATCTATGTGTGAGTGAAATCTATAGATTTGAAAAATAATCATCTTACTGTGAGGAATCCTGGTGCATTTTCATGGTCTAGAAGTGGATTTGGAGCCCTGGTGGTGCAGTAGTTCAAGTGCTCAGCCGCTAACGGAAGGGTCAGTGGTTCGAACCCACCAGCCTCTCCTCGGGAGAAAGATGTGGCAGTCGGCATCTGGAAAGATTGCAGCCTTGGAAACCCTGTGGGGCAGTTCTAGTCTGTCCCGTAGGGTCGCTGTAAGTTGGAATGGACTTGACAGAGTTGAGCGGGTGGAGAGAAGGACCAGTGAAAAGCGTTATTGTTGAGAAGGTGAGTCCTTGCCCACAGGAGGGGAGAGAGTCCAGTTGCAGAGGAATGTAGCACATACAGACTGACTTTTGAGCAGTCGGCTCTGATTGCTAGCGTGGCCCTGGTCACGGGCTCAGGGCGTGCTGGGGAGCCCAAACGGTGAACCGCTCAAATACCAACCGAAAGGTTGGCGGCTGAAGTTCACCCACAGGTGCCTCAGAAGAAAGGCATGGCAATCTGCTTCAGAAAAGTCAGCCACTGAAAGCCCTGTGGAGCACAGTTCTACTCGGACACACATGGGCTGTCAGGAGTCACAGTGGATCCCATGGCAACTAGTTTGTCTTTGTTCTGTTACCTAGGTGAGAGGTGGTTAACACTGGCTGCCTTCTAGAATCCCCGCAGGAGCTTTGAAGAAGACCCGCCTCCTCCGGCACCTCCATGTCTGCGGGAGGCCTGGACGTCAGTGCTATTCAAACAGCCCCCCACCCCGGTGGATGATTCTAATGGGTGCCGAGTGTTGCAATCCACTTGTGTAAACCCTGAGGAGATGTTGAATGGTAAATGTTCTGTACGTCCCTGCGTGTGGAGCTAAAGAAGAGAAAAGGCATATGGAACAGGACATTTTGTTTGCACCACGGTGACCTAAAGGTCTAATTTTTCACTTTTTGCTTGGCTGAGCTAGATAGACAGATGTAAATACGCGTATGCACGCACATCCATACACACACACTTAGAGGTGTAGACTCAGGTGGGTGTCTCATCAGCCTTCTGGGCAGGATTGGGCGTTTGTTGTGGGAAACGCTGGTAAAACATATGGCTAGTGAAAATAATAGCTTTCGATCTCGTAGGGCATTGTTAATGGAACGTACATCTAATTCCTTGCCTTGTGAAATTGCTTTCAAAG